TTTCCAAGCGCAACGAGTACAAGTGCGTATACACACAACTATCAACATAACTCGCGTTACGGAATTTTCTCGCAATATATTTCGATACAGTGAGATACAGAATTTAATTCCGCATCTAACAAAATAATTCCGAACTTATTGTCAAACCGCGTTCGCATGTTGCAATAAAAAAACTACAATTCCTAGCGCAACGAATACAAGTGCGTATACACACAACTATCAATATATCTCGCGTTACGGAATTTTCAAGCAATAAACTTCAATACTGGGAGATATAGAATTAAATTCGGCATCTGGGAAAATTACTCCGAACTTACTGTAAAACTGCGTTTGCCTGTTATACTTAAAAAACTACAATTCCTAGCGCAACGAGTACTAGCGCGTATACACACAACTGTCAATATAACTCGCGTTACGGAAATTTCAAGCAATTAACATCAATACTGGGAGATACAGAATTAAATTCCGCATCTGGGAAAATTACTCTGAACTTACTTTAACACCGCGTTTGCGTGTTATACTAAAAAAACTACAATGCCTAGCGCAACGAGTACTAGTGCGTATACACACAACTTTCAATATAACTCGCGTTACGGAATTTTCTAGGAATAAATTTCAATACAGAAAGATACAGAATTAAATTCTGCATCTGGGAAAATTACTCCACACTTACTGTACGACCGCGTTTGAGTGTTATATAAAAAAAACTACAATTTCAAGCGCAACGAGTACAATTGCGCATACACACAACTATCAATATAACTCGCGTTACGGAATTTTCTCACAATAAATTTCGATATGGGGAGATACAGAAATAAATTCCTCATCTAGGAAAATTACTCCGAACTTACTGTAAGACCGCGTTTGCGTGTTATACTTAAAAATTTTCTAGCAATAAATTTCGATACGGGAAGATACAGAATTATATTCCGTATCTGGGAAAATTACTCCAAACTTACTGTAAGACCGCGTTTAAGTGTTATACTAAAAAAACTACAATTTCAAGCGCAACGAGTACAAATGCGTATACACACAACTATCAATATAACTCGCGTTACGAAATTTTCTTGCAATAAATTTCGATACAGGAAGATACAGAATTAAATTCTGCATCAGGGAAAATTATTCCGAACCTACTTTAAGACTGCGTTCGCGTGTTATACTAAAAAAAACTACAATTCTTAGCGCAACGAGCGAGGCTAGCGGTAAAAGTGACTCGTGTTCAGGGCACCGTACGAGGCTAGCGGTTAAAGTGACTTGAGTTCAGGGCACCGTAGGGAGTAACGGTAGAAGTGATTCCCATTGTGAAAAAATGGGCAAGGGGGGTGTGGTAGTTTTTTTTTAGAATTTAGGACATATCTTTTAAACTAAAAGCGATCGAAGATTATGAAAGTTTGGAAAATTCTCTATAAGATAAGATAGGAAAATAATTAAAATACGGAGTGTACAGATTCTGAAATCGTGTATAAAAGTGCAAACGAGCGATTTTTTTTATTTTTTCAGACTTTTCTCCGATTGTGAATATCTCGAAAACTAAAAGAGATACAGAGGAGCGGATTGAAACGCGACTGTCTTGTGTCTTTGCAACACACGGTGGAACGCAAAAAAAACTACGTATATAAAAACTTATGTACGACGCAGGAATTAAAATGAAAAATATAATTGAATTATAAACTTACCAATGCAGATCACATCGGACTCCAAGGCACGGCATATACTGTAAATAAGAATTTATAGAATTATATTCATGTAATATTATATTCAAACAGCGGAGACAAATAAACATCTATGCTGTTTTAAAGTACGAGTATGATGCAGCAACATGCGGCGTGAGGGGATGGCAACGACGACACACGGCAATGCGATAAGAAAGTGTGAATTGTGTTCAAAACAAACACACTTCTCGTGTCAAATGCTCGCGCTTGTCGATAAATATAAAAATAACAATACAAATCTATTTTACGATTTTTGGGTCATGCTAGGGCCATCTATGAATGCTACAGTAGTTTCAGAATTTAGATTATTAAAAAGTAATGAAAAATTAAAATTCGATTTGTGTAATTCTGATTTCTTATGCTAACAGAGTGCCAGATTTTGCATAGAATATTTAAGTGATATCTGCTTCAGTGATCTGCTGATAATAAAAATGTTTTGCATTCTTGATGATTTTTATAATAAACTATTAAAATTAATATAAAACTGTTCGTTATATTCATGAAAGAATAGCAGAAAATTTTTAAGTTTACGATGCTAATATAACGTACAGCAACGGTGTGTTTTGATTCCACGAAATAAAGATTCGATACCTGCAGGTAAACAAACTTATCTCTTGCGCGAAACTGTGTCGGTGTGGACTCACTACCACCAACAAGCAATATTTAATGCAAAACCGTACATCGTAGCGCCATCTAACCTTTGAAAATATTTATTAACTTAAAAATATTTAAAACACATTTATCAAATATACAACAAGGTTGATATTGCAATGAAATTGAAAACAACGAAAGTCATACACGAAACAAACCAGGAATTAATAAATTCATTTAATATAATCAGGTAATGCTAAGTAGACTACGTCTCCACAATAAAAAAAGAAAGAGAAGTAAAAATACAAATTACAATCCCATCTACCCTCTCGACTTCTAATGTAAAAGAGATAGTAACCAGAAAATTGCATATTGTGGAAGATTGAGAAATTCTCTATAAGGTAGAAATTTATAGTGATTTTACATAATGGGATAAGAAGTCAAAAAACGCCACTGAAAGTACCAAAAAATTAAATTTATCCATTTTTGACGACTTATTTCAATTGCGAATATCTCGTAAACTAAAAGAGATAGAAAGGGACGAATCGTATCCTTAATCTACGAAAAATTCTCTATAAGATAAGCTAGTTAAATTAAAATATTAATTAATTTAAATAAAATAAATAGAATATGAAAACTTGAAAAATTCTTTATTGAAAAGGCAAAAAAAAGTAATAATAATAACCGTTGGATGACGATAGATTACTCACGATTTAAATCTGCGTATGTTGAATCCGTGTTTAATTAACTCCACTATTTTACATGTATCACATTAAATTATAGATTGCCAATTCTAACGGAAAGTCCGCAAACGCGAATGGCCACTAATTGCTATTATCAATTTTAAAAACAAACAACGAGGTTTGTCGGAGGTTACGTGCACACGTTGCGATAATAGTGAATTGTGTACTGGATCACCGGTGAAAGAGGACAGGCACACGTGAATATAAAATTATTGTAATGATTACCTACACTTGTTGAAGACAATTGCAACGAAACAGCACGCGCCAGAGACCAAAAACAACTAAATGCCGTCGATTGGACATACCACGATTTGCCTAACTGAACATAACAAACAATTCGTCGTTGCCAACTAAAAATATAAGATAAGAGCAAACTAGTTGAACCGTTTGAAACGCTGGTCAGGTGAGTGTAAGAAAAAAAGTAGGAAAGAGTGGTGCACACGGCAACAATGCACGAATCCAATGCACTTAAACGGAACAAATAATATAATTTACTAATTGATAAATTTTAATTCTTGTTTAACAGGAAGAATACCATTCTCTTTTCGATCTTATTCAAAGTTTAAAATGTTAGAAAAATGATCTTTTTGCAATTTTTATATTAAAAATATAATTTTAATCAAGGATTCTCTGATATTTGCCATTTAAAACTTGTATTAATTTCGATCAATATACTCGTATGTATTTGAAACGCGGCTCTACGTTTAAACCTAAAAAATTAGTACTATTACCTGAAATTTCCTCATTACAATTTGTAGTCAGTATTTCAGCGCACTTCTTAATAAAAAATGATTTACTGCTTAGGGCTATAAAAATAATAAAACTATAAAATATAAAATATAAAATAATAAATATTAATACAAATATTTAATAAATAATAGTGGGTAACTGATGCATCAATTAAATTATTGCTTGTTTATATTAATATTGGCTAATTATTAGCTAATTTCTGGGAATTTGAATAAGTTTGTTTACAAAAAATTGTAATATATGTGATTGGCAATAACCAGGTACCAACTGCGTTTCATTTTATTATGACCGTGAGATGGTCAATATATTTACCTTATTTTAAATCGCATGAAACAAGTAAGTGCACTGGAGTAAAAACAATTAATGTTTTAGGGAATTTAAGAGAAATGGATTTGAAATGTCTCAAAATTAAGTTTTGATACACTATGAGTTAACTCAAACAATTTTTTTAAGTAATAAAGTTATTAAAATCCATATACATTATAAAATAAAATAATATAATATATATGTATACTAATATACATATATTTATATTGTCTGATAAACTCTTGAAATCAAACATAATTACAAACATTTAGGAGCCGTAGGGATTAAGACATGATATCGCAATATATTTCACAATAATCAATCATGAAGGCTATACATGTTGATTGATATCATAATCTAATATTGCTAATAATGAAGTTTAATGTCAATAAATACATCATCGTTATTATAAGAATAAAAAAAGTGCAAATTTGTTTTGGATTCTAGCACTCATTTTGACAACGATAAACTAAGCTCAGGTATAAACGTAGGTATATACATAAATGGAAACATATCCAAGTAAAATTTATCAAACGTTTAATGTATGCCAACAGCATTGTAAAATGTGCAATTTTTTCTTAATGCTTTACAGAAGTCATAATCTTGATCAGCTGTATGCTTGAAACTGTATGCAAATCATGGTTATAGACTTATAGACTTTAGCGGATCAAAGTATAAATAAAGTATTTAAAAAAATTCAACCAGCTTTTAGTCAAAAGTAATCTGTGTTCCTTAATGTCTTTAGTGTGTATCGTTAGTTAATAATTAAATCGTACGGAATTATTTAATAAACCGTGTATTTTGTTATTTATTTACCTTTTGACGATGGTATCACCTCCCCCTCTTTAGCAGGAACACAACTGGGCGATGCGTATAAAACGTGGATACGATACCTGAGCAACCTATTCCTTTTGTACACACAAGCCAATAATGTTTAACGGTAAAATGTCTCTTCCACGGGGCCTTATTCACGTGCAAATCGTAATTATTCTTTCGGCGTATATTTTATCAGTTGACGGGGCCCCACCAGTTCGGAATTATTTTAGAGATGTGTCTGATAGTGAGCAATACGTCTTGAGTGGTCAGGAGGATTCAAGAGAAAACAGTGACAGAAGTTATGAAAACGAGGTGGAAACAGATGAACTACCGTCCATATATTTGGTAAGTGAATATAAATAATGAATCGCATAAAAGTCATCACACAATTATTAAAAATTATTATAAAAGAAAAAAAGTTGTCATATCACACTAACATTGATAAAATTAGAAAATTTCCAGTGTTCTGTCCATATATTATTTATAATCATCAAACTTTAATTATTATGTTTTACGAAATTATGTATTAATAATAATATTAATTTGTTTTCATTTAATTTAAGTAAATCAATATTGCAAAACGCTTACATCAAGACGAAGACTTATTGTGAAAACAAGCACTTATTAATATTCGATTGAACTTGACACAATAACACTTCTTTTTGCTTGATACACTCTTTTGATCGCTGCAAAATTATTATAAATACCTTCCAGTGATTATACATGTTTATGTATTTGCTAACACAGAACATCGGCAGTAAATTATTAAATTTTATATGGAAATGGTTTTTATGAATAGCGTCATAAAATAGAAGAAAACTACATATTAAATATAATCTTGGAATTCAAACCACTTTGAATAGTTTCCATAACAAACTTGCTATTGCTATAACTAGAGCAATAACTCTCAATAATTCTCATGTTAAAACAAAGATAACTTAATATTTCCAATTCACCTTAATAAAATTCAGTAAAACAATTAATTATATAATTCATTTGAAATAGGACCGACAAGAAAAACGATTATACATAACCCATGTGGACAAGCCGCTAATTAGGAAGATTGAGATGCTGATTGAAGAAGATTTTAAACATCGGAACAAGAGAGATGAAATTAAAAGAAAATTGTGTAAGTAACATGAAAGTTTAAAGACCTTTAATTGTTTGTGACTCATAAAGCGTTAAAGTAAAACTGTAAATGTCTTGATTTCCAAATATTTCCATTGTGTTCATTTTATTGCATTTTAAAACTGTTGTCAAGCTTGATGTTTGATTTGAATTCAACTCATAAACTATTATTGCTTTCTTAAAGTATTTGTTGACGCTTTTGGATTAATGTGCATTGCATAATCAATGCATTTTTGCTTTGTTTTCGTTTTGGCCTGCTTTAATCGTTTGCTTTGTTTCTCAAACGCAAAGATATTTCAGATGCGGCGCCATGTTTCTTCAAAATTTGCAACCTAGGAAAACGCCGAGTTCGCCCTACTATCAAATGAAGATTTCGAACTGCTTATCAAAAAGTTATTATGGATTTTACTACTTAACAATTTTGAGATGTTTTATTTTTTGATTGTATAGTTTTTAAATGTACGTTTTAATTATTGTAAACTAATATATTTATTGTATCTATTTATTTAAGATTGTACTGGTATCTATTTGAAACATGTCTTATGAGGACTTAATATTAAAAGCATAAATTGTAATATCTACTTTGTTTTATTGTGATAATGATATAATTGTTTCTTACGCTCATATTAGAAAAATCAATAAGAAAAAGAATTGACTTGATATTGACACCAGTCCAAGATGTTGTGGTATATCTAGTTACTTCCCTAAATATATTAAGTGTTTGTACTTCTAATCAAAGATTTGATGAGAACGTGACAATTACGACGCGTTAAGAATTTGGACTATTTTGGCTCGGATAACAACTTTCCCTCTTTTTTCATAAACATATCTGAATTTTCTAATTAAAAAAGTGGGTTTAATATTTCTATTAAAAAAAACTAGTAACCAATGAATGTTAGATTCTACAAGACTAATTAAATCCTATTTATTTGGAAGATAACGATTAGAAAGTATTGTCGTACATAAATAAATTTTTACAGAATTAATCAGTGAACAGAGTAACATTTAGTGCATAGTTGTTTATAACATTATATATTTTTAGTAGGACCATGCCGGCGAGTTCTCAGTTGCGAAAAATTAGAACAAGAGCAGGTAGATGTTAACCCTTAAGCACAGAGAGAAACCATCAAATACTTCATATCTCCCGAGTATTCATCCTGCAAACAAATAATAATATCAAGTGTTTGATAAAGATGTAGATCGATGCACGATCGAATTTTGTTTCAAAGTTTTATTGAAGCACCAACAAAGCGTTATACATAAATATATATATTATATCCATTAAAATTCAATAAATTTGAGAACAAAGTGTTTTTGTTTCTTTTCAATTTTGTATTCTAAATTTAAGAGGCAAAACTGGAATGTTTCCATGTTCATTTTGTATATATATAATGTAATGCGTTCACAGCAACAACACGAATGTTCAAAGACATTAGACATTGAAAGGCGCACAAATTCGTTTATCCTTGTGTTTCGTTCACATTGTACTTGGCTATAATAACATCGCTGTAAATATATATTATGAATGTAAATTGTATAAAAATGAGTAAACCCTCACCCGAGAAGCAATTTGCTAAAAGTATATATGCAAAAAACAGCTTAAGGACACTATTCGGCTAACGATACACCTACGCTAAGTGTCGCTTCTTTCGTTTGCTTCAATAAATAAATTAGATTTGTTGTATTAATTGTAGACACGTATAAAATGCAACAACACTGAATAATCATTTTGGTCAAACGAACAACACGGGTATTGAAACTTTATTTGGGTGCTGAGCTGGTTTACCCATAGGCAGTTAGACTTATCAAGAGATATTTGATTTCAGATTTGGAATCATCCTGCAAATATAAAAACAAAACAAACGTTTCCAAAATTAAAACAGAAACATATAATGATGTAACGATGAAGTGAATTTTATTGCAACTTCGATCAACTTATAATAAATATTTGACTTTCACGTAAAAAATATGCAAATTGTCGCAAAAATATTGACATGTTTATATCGTGTTGTGTATATTAGCAAACGATTAAAGTATTCAAATGTAAGGCGTACGTATGACTATGATGACTTATTATCAAATGACTTGTTTGTTATTGGACAGAATAAAGCTGTGTATGCGGCATACAAGTTGGAACACAATCATTGAACGCAATCGACTCTGTTTCGAAATCAGCATTATCGAAACCCGGGACGCATAAGAACAGCTTGTGTCTGAATGGCTAGTGAGAGTATAGTAAGTGTCAAAATGTTTGTAGTTTGTGTGATTCTTAATGTTTGTGCTAGTTAGGCAGGTACTGGATGAGTGAATGGCATTTTGTTTAGTCAACCAGTGCCAGCAGGACTTTCTTGTAGTCACCGGAGGTGTCTCCCTGCAAGCAGAGATAAAAGATTGTTAGTTAGAGAAATGTTGTAGAGTTATTGGTAAAACATCAAACGGGGTATTGGGGTACATGCAAGGATAAGTCTAGAACGACAAAGTTGATTTTTACCCGTAACGGGTTTACGGATATGAGCACATACCAGTGTTTCCGTCGTTTAACACTAATAACTTAATAACCAAAAGCAAACTGCGCGGAAATGTTGCAATTTGATCACGTTTTTAAGAAAGAACAACAGAAAGAACATTTTTATCGCTAACATGAGATAGAAATAAATGTTGGTTATTTCATTTGTCATTCATCAAAGCATGTAATAGTAAATTCATACGAACAATAGTAGTTGCGAATAAACTCATCAAGCAGATTAACATGCGATCAAATTAAACAAGATACGCTCTGTGAACGCAATGACATCATACTTGATGGCATTTAACCTCGGCGGTTTGCGCCGGGCATGAATAATACATTCATCATTCCACAGATAAATATTATATCTATGAGTCCAGACAGTCATGCAAATTCTCATTAATGGTCTGACATTGTAAGAATACGATAACACATGCATACTGTTTAGTATTAATTAACTGAGGTGCAGAAGTGTATTCTCGAATAAATTTAAGTCTCGAAATTTCTCGAATCAAACTCAAAATCACTCAAATTCACTCTAATAAGTTTAATCAATTTTATTACCTGAATCCAGCTCTCAAGAGTTTTACCAAACTTGTCCAAAAAGGCTTGCTTGATGTCAGCCAAGTCGATTTCCGATCGCGAGACAATGACGCGAATCAAAGTCTTGTCGTTGGTTCCCAAGCCAGCCATCGAGTCGTGTAGTCTTTCCGCAAAGTAACCGACTTTGCTCTTGACACATTTTACTGCAATGCCACAATGGTAATAGATATAAATAGTTGCGAGCGCTTGCGTCACGATTTTATTATGAACGTGTGAATTAAAACCGTCACGTACCAATGCCGAGAAGGCCTTTTTCGATGTTGCCAGAGAACTCCTTTTTGATGGACTCTTCAATGTCCTTGCCGGTGAGCCTCTCGTATTCGATGAAGGTCTGGCGCAACTGCTGGTAGGAACGTGTAATTAAGATGGAGTTGAACGAGCTCTCGTCGGTGCCCCATTTGTCTTCACCGGCGGAGATGAGCGATTCCGCATCAGCGGTCGCTTGGGCTTCGTTCACGCCCTGGTTCTCGTCGCGGTTTCCTTGACACAACGACACCAGCAGACGCTTAAAATGGCCGGAAGTATCATCCTTAAGATCGTGTTCCAAATTCTTGCCATAAGCTAAAATATGAATTAGCAAAGCAATTATTTCCCGTCATATATGATTGATCATGTGAAACGAAATTGGTTTTGAGTGTGAGACTCACTTTGTTCATAGAATTGGGCAATCGTGCGAATGCCATAGTTGGAGAGCGTGCACAGAATTTCAATAATGGCCTCTTCATCAGTGCCCACACCGGCAACGGCGTCGTGCAATTCTTTCGCGTAGAATTGCGGCAATGGCGTCATCAGAGCAACGATGACATCTTCAAATTTGCCACCGAGCTCACTCTTCAATTCAGAGATGAGGTCCTTGCCGTATGAGGTTTTAAAGGTTTCGGCGATTTCCAAGCGCTGGACAATACCACGACGTGCGAGGACATCGATAATCGCGCGCTCATCAGTGCCGAAACCTTTCATCGCCTTGCGAAGTGTGGCGGCATCAGCGACGGGATCGAAAGGATCCGCGGGATACACGGTTGGCGTGCACTAAAAATAAACATTTCGGGTATTAAAATTTGATGGCAACGGCTGACATCATTAATATTTGGGTATTGAGCGACTAAGGTCATTAAAGAGAGACTGGAATAACGATGAATCACATTACAGGAGTATCCAATAATAGCTCAAACTATTCATTCAAAAACAAACATAAATTTACTGACAGTCCCTATTCTTCAAAGCCTCATATTTTCAAAGAAAAAGTATAGGTACACAATTGTTTTTTAAATAAAAAAAACTGGTTCAATAGGTTTCTATATGACCAACACAGTGTTAAATTATTTTCAATGTCAGGACATGTAAATAAGTGCATTTGGAAATTTATCACTCACCTTGAATGGGTAATACTGCTGGTTGCTCATGATGATTTAGAATAACTGACCTGTAACACAATATAAAATTGACGCCAACTTGCGTTTAACTATATTAGGAAGTAGGCAATAATAAGGTAGCGGATGTCGCGCAACACTAAATGATTTTGAACTTTCAAATTCTGTTATATGTCGGCACCTACGAACAATATCAGTATTAAATATTGTGTGGAGGTAGAAAAAGAGTGGAGGATGGCTACGTCATCAATTACAAGTATTATTTTTCCATGGATTACTCACTCACTCGAGATCTATGACTACGCAGCCCATTAAGCGAAATTCCAAAAACTGATTCTCACAGTTAATCTTTACGATACATCACGAATGACGTAAGATTTTCTAGTATTGTTTGAAAATGGCACCAACTTGTATGCCGGTGCCAGTTTTTAGACAATACTCATCGAATTTCCGTACCCGAACATAATGAACAAAGTAAATACAATGTGTTGATTATGATAAGTAAAACCACAAGCCTGTATATCGTGTTTACGTTCCATTCGCACTATTTTATGCTTGCGATGAAGATAACTGCAAACGCGGCGATCGATAAAAGTACCGGGCGTGGTTACCAAACGAATGAAAATACAATCATAAATAATGCACGAAAACAAAGTTTTCGGATAAATTTAGATGCTAACATTCATTGAAAGTGTATGAATAGAATCTTATGGGCATTCAATTGCAGGATGAGTCGCGTATGTAAAGGAAAATCCGTCAACCAACACGCATTATGATGCGACAAAGGCGCAATCGATTGGTTGCTATGAGCAAATTAAATAAACTCGAAATTTTATAAAAATTTGAATGTATCGAGGCAGGTGGTTGTGTAAGTTGTAAACGTAGGTAACTTACCGGTATAAACAGGCGGAGAACTCTCGACCGTTCGATAAAATGCTCTTCTCAGAAGTGAATCAGCGACACAGCCTTCGCCTCTCGAAAACGTACTGCCGGCAGCAGGCAGCTCACACCGCTCACACACTATGCCAACAACGCCAACAAACGCAGGAGAGGCGTAGCGCAACTTGGCTTGGTGTTGAACGTGTACGTATTCAGGTCCCAGCCCAATCCCAAACCCGATTCGAAAACACACCTTGCGCTATGTGCGCTCGCAGGATTGAAGCACTCAGCAGTAGCGTAGAAAGTCACCGGCTTCGGTACGCTTAAAATAGGCAAGAGAGCGTTGAAAACGTCGGAATTTTCTGCCCACATGTTAGAAATTACAAGGCATAAAGTTCATTGCATTTCTTTCGACATTGCGTTGTCTCTTTGGCGCCGCAAAGCATTCCGACGGAGTTGGGAAGCGCCACTGCACTTGTGCGTGTATGTTGAAACCAAAAGCAAGGCCATTGTGTAATTGAATTCGTACGCATTACATCATCGTTATTTTAAATGAAAAGTACATTCGTCAATACTTTTGGCATTATGATTGTAATCTATATATGAACATTTACTTTGTCTCAAGGTACTCTTAGACTTAAGTCTCTTATCATGAAATAATATTTATTTTGGAAAACACATACTACTCATCTTTTCGTCAGAAAAAGTAGAATAAACCCAGTTAACTGTCAATAAATTTTATCAGAAAGTATATATTTGCTGTAACTTGTTTTTTAAAAGATAAATTGTCAACAAAATAACGCGACGAAATGAATTTTTATATAAGATAGTATTTTAAACGATTATATTCGTGAATTTATTTTTAATTATTATTCAAGTTTCGTGTCTGATTTTTGATATCTTACATCAAAACAACAACTGCAGGGGCCATTTCTTAAATGCTTGGTATTATCTTTCGCGTCGAATCAGAAAATTGTATAGATTGTGAAGTATTTGCGCGACTTTAAATTTTACAAAATAGTTAACATTACGAACCTTCTTTCAACACCAACAAAACGACAAAATGGCACACCATGTCAATAGCAACAGGCCATACAGATTATACAACCTTTTCCATCCTTCCCAAATACTATTAATTCTCATACCTCTTTTCCGGGTTGTCCGCAGATAAAGAATGGTGCGCAACGGATAGCGTTCAGTGGAACCTTCTCCTCAGGTCTTGTTGGGTCACAGGTCCTTCTTCAAGTCGTATATAGGTAATGTCCGTCAAATCAGGACATATGAAGTGATGCTCCGCCAAACAAAATGCAGCAATTCGTTTTATTTATAAAATTTACTAAACAAAAAATACATGCAAGCTTAATTTCAATTTTTTTATTTCATTTTGATGGTTGTATCGTGTTGTATTTTGTATTTATTACAAAACATTATGAAAATTATCCTCAAAACTCCTAACAAATTCATCTCAAATAAAAACCAAAATCGAAATCAGAACCAAAAATCCATTTTCCGATGCAAACGCAATCGTTTACGTCGATAATAAAATTTACTGGTCAAATGCTCTTTAATCCTCCAAGAAGAAATAGTTTCCGGCTCTCTTCTGATCAACATCCTTGACAGAATGTATCTTATTGATGCGCGGTCGGAAATTGTTGGGATCTCTTCGGAAAGTTATTCCCAACAGCTCCAAGAATCGATTCATGCCAGCTAACAAAGTCTGCGGTGAATGAGCAACAGTATCAACACTAGGTTGACCCTCAAATACGATAACGCGATCTGCCAGATAAGTTGCCATAATAAAATCGTGCTCGACAACAAAACCAGTCTTCTTCGCGTGCAAGATGAACCGTTTAATGACTTTAGCAGCGACCAGACGCTGTTCGGAGTCCAAATAAGCAGAAGGTTCATCGATCAAATAAACGTCGGCTGGTTTTCCCAAACATAAAGTCATGGCAACACGCTGCAATTCACCACCGGACAAGTTCTGCACTTCTTGATCAATAATATCATCTATTTTCAGGGGTTTCATTACATCAGCGCAGAACTGCGGATGTACATAGGCGTCACGAATCTTTTCATGCAATAGTTGACGTACCAAGCCTTGAGACTTTGGACTGATCTTTTGCGGTTTGTAAGAAATGTGCAGTTGCGGTAACTCACCGGATCCGTCGTCCGGCTGGAGGTTACCGGCAAGCATCCGAATGAAAGTTGTCTTACCAGTACCATTCTCACCTAATAATACTAAAATTTCCGAATCGGAGAATTGACCGGCGCGCACCTCCAACTGGAACGAACCCATCTGTTTCTTCATCAGTGGGTACTCGTAATGGTTCATTCGTTTCACTTCCTCCTCCGAGGCAGACTCGGAAACCTTAAATACCAACGATTCGTCACGGAAACGTAGGTTTTCGGTCGGAACAAAGCCGTCCAGGAAAATATTGATGCCTTCACGCACTGAGAAAGGCATAGTAACAACGCCATATGCTCCAGGCACGCCATATAAACAACAAATAAAATCAGAGAGGTAATCCAAGACAGACAAATCGTGCTCGACGACAATGATGAACTTATCGGCATGGATGAGAGAACGTATCGTTAAGGCAGCGTTCAAGCGTTGCTTCACATCCAAGTAGGACGAAGGCTCGTCAAACATGAAAATATCTCCGTTTTGTATGCATACCATGGCGCAAGCAAAACGTTGCAGCTCCCCTCCCGATAACGCAGAAATTTCACGCTCTTTTATGTGACTCAAATCTAAATAAATACAATATCAATTAAAATAAAGAAATTCAAACATAAATTAAATTCCTTACCCAACATTTGGCAAATATTATCAACATTGTCCATTTCATTTTTCTTACTTAATAATTGACCAACAGTTCCCTTAACAGCCCTAGGAATCTGATCAACATATTGAGGCTTAATCAAAGCTTTCAAGTCATCCTCTAGAATTTTCGTGAAATAATTCTGCAACTCAGAACCCCGGAAATGATTCAAAATCTCCGACCAATCAGGCGGATCCCCATAACGTCCTAAGTTTGGTTTCTGCTTGCCTGCAAGAATTTTCAATGCTGTGGATTTACCAATACCATTGGTACCCACAAGTCCAAGCACTTCACCAGGCCTTGGAATTGGTAGCCTGTGCAATTTAAATGAATTCTTTCCATATCTATGTGTGGTATCCTTTTCCAAATTACTTGGTAAGTTAATAATTGTAATGGCCTCAAATGGGCATTTCTGTAAATTTGTAAAATGATTTTTGCTTATATTCAATTGAAAATATGTTGAAATAATTTTACCTTCACACAAATGCCACAACCAATGCACAATTCTTCAGAAATTGATGCAATTTTAGAATTGGGAGACACCTCAATGCAGAGTTTGCCCATTCGTACCACTGGACATGATTTTTTACACTCCTGTCGACATCTCTTCGGCTTACACTTATCGGCGTTCACGATTGCGATACGCGTAAGCTTGTCAGTTTCTTCCATTCCCTTTTTCCGCGACATTTTGCACTAAAAGTAAAACACTCCGATCAGTTTAGCATCACATAACCTATTCGAATGAAAAACATATGGCTTTCAATGCCCCGTCATATTCTGATCTCAAAATTGAGATAGATGTTCAGTGATTTAATATTTTAACAGCACTAAAATTATATGCACACATTTTCACAACTCGTTCGTACCTAGGTCTACTTAATTTCTATGGAATTCAAAAATCTAGTCGGTCCTCTACAACCGACCATGAGGAAAGGAGCGACGTGAAGTTGTATCACAACCTCAACGAAGTGTTGTAACGGCTAGGAACGAGGTCATACGAATAAATGCACTTAAAAATTCCATATCAAATGAACTCTACATTATCTTATCAAATCATTTGTAAAATTAATAGAATATGTATAATATTAATTTCGCTTTCATTAATTCATATAAAAATAATATCAAAATTAATGAAAAACAACAGCGACCTTTGTATTTTGCAACGACAGCAAGCTTACTGAGTCGCCATCTAGCGGATGACAAGTAAATGTTAGTATGTACAAAATAATAACAATAACAAATATGAATCAATTTTGTGACTTGGATATGATGTTGAATAGCAGAACATAGTTTATGAATAATATTATTCTTTGAAATTGCGTGAAGTATTTAACTTAAACCATGAATCATTCATAAATAATTTGAAAAAACCATTTCTTTCGCTCTTTTTCTTTTAGAGATAGGAGATTAAGACACAATGGCGACCACTGCACCCCTGAGCGCATGGTACCTGGTACCCCGTAAGAAACAAAAACAAGTGAAGTACTTATAAAAACTTATTAATAAAAGGCAGTTTAGTTGCTCACTTAATTATATGAATAAAAGTTATACAGTTATTAAAAATGCTTGTACGTTACTATGTTTTTTTATTAAAATCCGCTACTTATGCAGATTCTGCAGATTCCACTTAAAACACACTGACCTTCAGTCATTTTCAATCCATAACGCTACAATCTGTGCCTACAATCGACAGAGATAATATGCTCGTAACGTCGTACTTACTTGCATCGCGCTGACAAAGCATAATAAAGGAAAATACATGTACAGTACAAGAGAATAGTTACATTTCATACAGATTCTATGTCCCTCTCCTTGTGGTATGGCTGAATAATGTTGTAAGCTGATGAATTGGTTTGTCGCAGTTGCCACTGACCGAAGGACGGATGAGTTGCATTCAGTAGCTTTTGTTGCATTCGCAGTGATACAGTAATTGCGTATCTTTCACATCTTGCACATGTGCGCAAATATTATGTTTATTTGATCTACTATCACAAAAACATGGTAAGCGCATTATTATGCTTCTAATCTACATAACTTAAGTCAATCTCCCTTCTTATCTGTAATTGTTTCCTAATTATGTAGATATTCTGATAGTGGTTCAAGAAGCGGAAGGGAGTATGTCTTTAGTCATTATTTGGAAGGAGATTTGAGTCATATTTCGAGCACGAAATAGACACTTGGTATACCAGTTCATTGAATTCAACTCGTCTGTGTGTGAGTAGCTTTGCGTCAGCCAATCAACATGCAATCGCTCAGCCGCTGGTTGCGAGGTTGCGCGTATGACTAATCAACAAGTTAGTTGATCAACGCAGCAAAACACGACTGCGATTCAATCACTCGATACAGAACAATTCACGAATTCAGCATGATCATCAACAATTAACACTGTTTCCTACACTAAATCACACGTGAGAATTACTCTGTGAGGCTATACCTTTTCGGAACACCTGGTCATCTATTTATATGGAGGAATATTATTCAAAAATAGAATTCTAACTAGGAATTGCTGTTCAAGTCACCTTATCAATAATATACAGTAAACGATGTGATAACGTATCTACAATCTAGCGATTTTGCAAGTATAAAACTGATAGCAGTTGGGGTTTGCTTGCTGAACGTGAAAGTGAACAATGTGGAAATAAGTACTTTGTGGAATATTTATAATGAGTGCCCCAGTGCCAGCCCCAAGGAGTAATCCTGGAGGAAAGAGACCAATCCCAGCACCACGCACATTGGTACCCGTGCGAATCGAAGAAGAATCGAACGAAAACGAAACAAATACTAATCCAGCAGTTCAGTCAACTGAAGGTAAAAATACATTTAGAAGAAAAGTACAAACCATAAGCAATGATATTGGTGGCAGGGTGAATGAGGGGAAAAAAGCTGTTATTGAATCAACCAGGCAGAGCGTTCGTAAAATAACTCGTCGTTTTACAAATAATTTTACAGAGCCCTCTGAAGATGCAAAAACAGAAACTAATGAAGTTGAATCCTTGGATGTGTTTAACATCTCTTTTGATTCACCAATAAGATCAAGTGACACAGAATCAGTGTATTCCAATGTTACAAATAATAACAATGGCAATAATAAGAGAGTTCAAAGGAGTGTAATACCTGCTGCATTTGAAGATGATGATGATGACTCACCTCCTCCACCTTATCCTCCACCAGCCTTGCCTGATGACACTTATGATGTACCTTCAGTGGCATCAGGTGAGACAACCAGCTCAGAAGAGACTCGTGGTAGATCCAGGGGGCATGTTAACTATGAGAGTGTGTTTCCAACTTATCCCTACAATAGTGATTCAGATAGCTGTGTTGATATGACAGCAGGTACTATTGATAACAGGGTTGGGATGAACAGGTCTGAATCTTGGAACTTTTATGATACAGCTCAGAAAGACAGGCCTAAAGAAGAACCTACTTATAATAATGTTGATGGTACACCTACCATGTCCACTACTTCTACCAGTGAGAGAACCAGTTTCATTCGAGCAAATTCTTTGTATGAAAATTGTGATATTATGTAAGTTATTTAAATTAAGACACATCGTTTAAAATATTAAAAATTATTTGTTTTCTACAGGCCGATAGTTCGCAGTCCACCAACGAAAAGTGTACTGATAGAGTTTGATCCGTTATCGAACGAAGCTGGTGGTATGACACTAGCTGAAGAATTGAGTGAGTTAGAGAAAGCCCTACAAGGTGATTTGCATGGCTCGTTTAACTTGGATAATTTGTCTATATTTGACGATATGAGTGAGACGGATGAAACATATATCAGTCCACCACCGCCGCCTCCACCAGAGCGATCAGATTCTCTATTTGACAACGATCAGGCTTCTGCGCCATCGTCACCCAAACCAGAGTTGCGATCAAAGATTAATAAAGAAATTGGTGGTTCTACAAGTAAAACTAGCTGGTACTTAGGTAATCAGAGTAACCAGAGCAAAGAAAGTGCTGGTGCTGCTCTAGAAACTAAAACCACGGAATCCATTTCACAAATGTTAATGAAACGAATCAAACCACTTGTAAACAAAGCAGAGTCACTAAAAAATCAGTTTTCAAAGAAGGATAATGTGGTCGCCCGGCCAATGATACAGATTAAACGCGGCATTCAGCAGAAGGGGATGTTGTTCAGAATTACGAAAGGACCAGTGGATGAATTGTTCGGTGAATTGAATGCTCGATGGTGTGTTTTGCAACCTGGCGCATTGCTTTGTCATGCCGATAATAGTTGTGACACTATCAAAGAGAACATTTCGATTGAGTCGATTTTGAGCATACAAATAGTGCAGGACCAGAAAATGAAATATAAGTAAGTTTTATACAATTTACTGTCTTCAAATGTTCTTATTTGATTTGTTGTGTTGTGTAGGCATGACGAAGGCGAAATATTCTGTTTCGAATTAAACGTTGCTGGGAAGTTGCGTGTAAAATATGTGTTTGGAACTAAAAGTAAGTCAGAGCGACGTGTTTGGATGCAGAACTTAGCAGAGAACATGTGCTATCGGTTTGGCTCTCGTGTCACAAGTGATTACAAACGTATTGGTTGGTGCTACTACAAAGCCGGTGTCAATGGACAATGGAAAGGCGTTTGGATTTGTTTAGCGCGCCGAAAATTATATTATTTACAGGACACGACGCTCAAACATTTTGATCTCCGTAAAGCTCGCTGCTTTAAGTTAGAACCTTACGTCCCTGAGACATCTCCAAGCACATCAGACAAAGGGCCAAATATTGTCATTCATTTCACCACTGAAACTTACTATTTTCGGATGTGGACTCAGCGCGAGACGAAGGTACCATCTTCAAAATATGCATGTTGATCAATTTATAACAAAAACACTTCAATTATGCAGGTCTGGTGCCACATTATTAAACTGGCTGCCAGTGACAACGGTCCCAATTTAAATCAGCAGCAATTAACAAAGGACGATGTGCCAGTGATCGTTGCGAAGTGCATTAACTTCTTGTACGTGTATGGCAGTATGACTGAAGGGATTTATCGCAAAGCTGGCAGTAACACGACCGTCAGTGAATTAATGAATAAGTTTCGCACTGACGCATGGAGCGTTCAACTCACCGATAAGTATTCGTCACATGACGTGGCGAATGTTCTGAAACGGTTCTTTAGGGAACTTGCCGAGCCGTTAATCGATAACAGTAAACGGCAATATCTCTATCAAGTATCATGTATGTTATCTTATTGATTTAATTTATTTAACTTTTATTCATGAGCTTTGTTGACAGTGGTTAAAAATGAGGATGAAAGGGTGCGCATGTACAAAGCGATGTTTGATCAGTTCGACAAGATTACTTTCAACACCTGCAGAAAATTGCTGAGTCATTTGCATTTTATTAGCACTCAGAGTAATAAGAACATGATGACTGTTCTTAACTTGGCAGCCATTTGGGGACCCACCTTATTACATGATGTAAGTACAAAAACAATACGTACATTAGTACATTAGACAATTACACACTTTTGATATATTGATTGTAGTCCATTGAAGAGGGTAACAAGGCCCGTGTAATTATCATGCAATTGATTGAATTGTCCAAACACATTTTCCCTGAAGATCTAGTTGAGAGAGAAAAGGAAAATAAAATGTTAAATGTTCTCAAAAAGTACTCAAACTCACCACAAGGTCCTGTGAATGTAAAATCAGCAGGTGATTTTCGAGTATGGGTATATCTCTACAATAAAGATGGAAAAGATTTTAACATTGCGGTATGTACAATGTTTCATTCAAGTTTTCCTTTGTGAATTATCATTGTTCTGTTTAGGTTGGTCCTAATAAAACTGCATATGACATACTCTGTGAGCTAAGTGGTCAAGTTAATCTACTAGTTCATGAGTTGGTATTAGAGGAACTGGTTTTAAATGATAATTTGACCAGACCGATTCACCATAGTGAAAAGGTGAGATACGCGCATTTAAAACTCTTAAACAATTAAATAAATTATGACTATTTCAAGGTCTTGGATGTTGTCATGAAGTGGGGCTTCTGGAAAGATTCTGATTGTAAAGACAATTGCTTAATTTTGAATAACATTTCAAAATATTGGGAATATCTTAATGATAATAATGAACCTCTTAGCGCCGAATTGAAATACGCTGATAACAAGACGAGATCGCTAAAATCGTACAAGTTTGAATTCCAACAGGCAAAACTCACTTATTACAAAGAGCGACAAGTAATATAAATTCACATCTTCTCTTAAATTATTTCATAACGTTCATTTTTTAGACGAACAATATGTTAGGTCAGTGGAATATTGAAGATATCTTCATTTATTTTGGTAGTGAGCCGAAACGTAACTCGCCGTTTGCCATTACGTTCTTTCCACGCAGTGAATATCCGGTGCGCAACAAGATGCACATGTATTTTGGGCACGTTATAGCTTTCCCAGATCCGACGATGAAAGCTAGATGGATTTCAACAATGTGGCGGGCGGAGCATCATAGCAATTTGACGCCACCACCCCAGCACGTTAATTTAATGTCTTCCTGATGCTGCAATGGTACTTATTTTGTAGCGTTAATCACGTCGACCAACTTTATCACCTTTACGTGCCATTGTAATGGTTTTAATCAAACAATATTTGTTATAGCTGTGAATCCACCTAAGTATTAAGTATTTTACCATTTTAAGACCATTTTTATATTAGTATCCCATTTTAAGTAATTGTGTGATTTTATCGAGAAATTATAAAGGACATTTGATTGTTGTAAATTGCATAGAGCATTTATACATATATTTACAAATATGTATTTATTGGATTGATTTGTACCATAGTTATACTTGTTTTAGTATTGCAAACAAGTATGCACCCAATTTTTTAAGTCTGAGATTTATTGCAATGTTACAAAGTTTACCTATTTAACTTTGGTATGAAATTATGCCTACGTTATAAGTATATTAAAATAAATATATTATGATAAACACAGTAAAAGTATATTTACAAGTATGTCTATGTTTAAGTCGCTTGTTTCAAAATTATTCTTTTATAAAAATGAATGCTTTGGTTTACTAAGAGAAAAAGTTGGTAATTGCTTGACGTAGCAGATCAGTGTGGATTTGTACCGTTTGTCCCCTGCGATTCTTTCGCAGCATTCGTCTGCACTTTCGTGTACGCATAGAGATAACGGCTGGACCAGTGCAGGTAGACATACCAAAGTGCAACGAGCGCACCGATTAGATTAGCGCCGCAGGAACCAATCATGAGGAAGACGAAGAAATTGTTCAGCTCATGACACTGCAGATCGGCGTAGTGGTGCTGCTGTTCGATGAACGCCGGCAAGCTGGTCGAATTGGACAGCGTGCACAAGCAGGTGTTGTTCAGATGGACTTGCGGTTCACATGCCATGAACAGCAAGCCCATCAGGTGGATGCAGGCGAATACACTTGCAATAAGACTGATGACACCTGCTACAGTGCTTAAAAATACGCTGAGAATCTGCAAAATGCACAAAAATTATTGTTTGCATAAGTAATTCAATTACATGCGGAAAATGAAAGTGCGGAAAACCCGTGAATGCACCATGGGATCGTCATAAACACTTAAACAAATAAAATGAACAAACATTTATCATGAGAATCCTATATTTTTATTAATAATGTTGATATGCCTGCAGTTTACTTTATGAAAATTGGCCGTCAGTTTTTTTGAAAAACAATTCGGGTGGATTCTAAAAATAATTTTATACTAATTTCTTCAAAATCAGTAAAAACCATCGGCAATCACATAATTTAATATTTGTCAAATGAATTGCATTTAATTCCCATCTTTACGAAAAAACTCAAGAATTTTATCATTTAAAATGAAAAAAAAAACATGTTTCTAAAACGTGTTTTAAAGCTAGAAAAAGTTCCAAGAATAAATTAAGTATTGGACCATAAAAATTTAAACATAAGTAAAATTGTAATCGTATATTTAAACAGAAATGTAAAGAATGTTACCTTGATGGAATGAGCAAAAGCATTCTTTGGTCTTCGCCGCGTACAGAAAAGCAAAAGAAAGCCAATTAACCCTGAGATGACCAACTGAAAACATAAATATTATATTTGTTTAATGGTATTGCATTGTAAATTACTCAATTGTCCAGTGAGCATTTTATACCCGCACGTTACATTTCACTGTGTCTAGATTTCTAACATGTTGCATTAATAGATAATCCAATAAATTAAAGTTGAAATACACAGTGCGCGGCATTCGTTTAAAAGATTCAATAGACTGAATGACAGTAATCGAATTCTACGCTTTATAACTTCAACAAGTTATAATTATTTTTATTACCTTCAATGCGGTACACCAGTTCCCGCATTTGATCGCGTTTATTGGTACACTTAAGTGAAAATGCTTTCCCAAATCAATAATAGTAATAACCAGCGAGTAAATGAAAATTTGTCCAACTAACAATTATATATCGATAAGTCCGCATTAAAAAGCACTTAAGTCTTTGTGCCGCGTGTGTTCTAGCTAAGGCTGAACAATGGGCATTCCACTTACCGGAATTCCAGACCAGTAGGGAATGTCTCTCTCATTGATGTTGGGCGCGAAGAGGTAGATCCAGAAGGCAATGGCACAAACACATATCCCAAGTACGAATTGCAATGCGACAAGGACCTTGGCTAGCTTGTGAAACCGTATCATGGGAGGCGTGGTTTTGGTGGGAACTGAAAACAATGCGTTGTTATTATTCCACAGGTGTGCACAATGCACGGTAAAAAAGACATTGCTGAATAATTTTGCTTAAGTGGCATGAAGAATTGAGTGACAACTCAATACATATATGCAAAAGTTTATAAATCAAACTTTTACTCCATTATCTGCACAGTGAAATGCAATCTCACTATCATTTAGATAGTTTCATTGCCGATTTTGGAATTGAACAAATATTAATTTTCTGCTTTCCAATTTCACAATAGTCAAATATGGTTAATCCATTAATCCAATCAATGCGTATTTGATTGTACCTGTAGTAACTTCTGAGTCAGCCCATGACTCTATAAGTATGTAAGGTGTATCAGTTGTGTTTACGGTTGCTGGTACTGTACCTGCCTTGCATACAAAAACTAAATTTAAAGTTGTTTGTACACACATCGATAGCATGTACAAATACAGCTGTGAATGCGATTCGATAATTAAAACGTTAAAAATAAACGGAGTTCATTAGATTCAAATTACAAACTTCAATAACAAAACATTAAAAAAATATTTTTCGTAGGTATCTAAGTTGTTTGTAATATTTGACCTGATTTTCATAGAACGATTTCATCTTGTTTATTTATTTGCCATAATTGGCAAAGTCGAGGTTTTGTTTGTTATTAAATAATAAAAAGTAGCTTTCTGGAGAGTGATAATTATATTGCGACACTATTAATTGAATTTCCGCAGAATTGTGTAAATTGCAAACGATTGCAACGCAAATGCAACGTTGATCAATTCAAATCGCCATATTGGATTCAGTCATTCACCTATACATTTGTAATTTTTATGTCGGGTTTATTATGAAAGTGTTTATTGTAATTTCGAGAAATTCACATCACGGTTATTACCTACCAACAAAAGATGGTTAATTAAAGTCAACAATTACAACAGCATTAATGAGCACAAGTTTAATGATGTTTGCTATCAATTATATGCAAATATGTAGACGTAGGGTGTAAAATTGTACAATAAAAAAATAACCTCTGCAAGTACAAGCAGCCATTTTGAAAATTATTGAGTATTTGAATATTTTTGCCCAAAAATTCAGCAAATACGTAATATCAATTTATGTAGAGTAGAACAAAGTACATATATCGAACAAACCGTTGTTATAATCATAAATTGCGATGTTACGTGCCTCAAAATCATTAATTACATTTTAATTAAAATAACGCAATAGGTAAAAGTGTGCAATAATCACCATAATATAATTGTGCCAGACTGTCTTTGCTGCAGGTATTAAATAATGCTTGAACCATATGCGTTATATGTTATCTACAATAAAATTTAGAAAATGTATTTCCAACTATTCATATTCGCATATAACATTATGCAATCAAATCGTGCCAAACGTGATGTAGAAATTGTGCCATGTATTCGCAAACAATTATTTTTTATCATTATTTTCTACCGACACAAAGATTATAATAACAATCTTACAAAGTCGTTAAAATCTACTTTCGTCATATTAAAATATAGTTATTGTACTTTTCGGAACGCATTACCAAGTCACACAACTGATGTTTAAAAAAAAGAACACAAAGAATGATGTAAAACAAAAGTATTTCTACAGTTGACTTCTTCTGACACTGAAAAGCACTCAGCGTGCAAGACCGCTACGCAATTTCGTGATTTTGTCTCTTCGCCGTTGCGGACGTTACTAACATCGATCCATCGTGACAATTTCCAGTGAACAATAAGCACGTACTGTTAAATCACGACCATAACAAAATTCCATAGACCACAAGCATGCAAAAAAATGACTGAAACATCGAGGTGTGCGCATTGTACGCGGCGTGCGCCTGGATGTAAATGTTTCCGGCGTTTGTTCTTATTGTTGCATGAATGAGTGTCGCGTTTCGTTTTTTGCGTGTGTATATTTTAAGCGCTCTTTAAATATAATTTGCGTGCAAAACGCTTAGAACTTGTGTTGGAAAACCCTCGTTCAGTAATAAGCGCCACTAATAAACAGCGCGTAATTTTCATTTCTACTCGCATCGCTCTTTTACATCCCGGAAACTCATTTTAATTTCAATGGAGTGCAGGTGTTCAAAAAGTTCTAATTCTAACTCTCAAAGCTACACCTAAGGATGTAATTTACAAGTTCTAGACGACTTCCGGGATAACCGTGTAATTTTATGAATCATACTATGTGGTAATTGGGAGTTCTTTGATTTATATTTACCTGTATTGAGGCGATTCATGACGATCATCCTGCTGTGTCTCAAACTGTGTCTGGTAGGCGCATGTCGGCCTGCAATGTTTGCCGGTGTGATGTTCTGCGGCACCGTTGTCAATAAGGAAATGGTTTGCGTGGGACTTTTAGTCCTTTCGAAGCCCAGCAGCTCGTTTCGTAATTGATCGTATTTATCATCCTCGTAACCGTCGTATGTATTGTCTTTATCGCCACCGTAATTGTCGTAGTAACTACCGGGTCGACTGCTGTAAAAATTCGCGTGCGACATTGCGCGATGCACTTGTTATTGTTTGGTAAAAAACTTTAGTTGGGTGTGCGCGCGCGTGTTGTTGTAAATAAGCACACCGCGTGAAAAAGTTTCGTGGCGAGTGCGTGCGAACGAGTTGCTTGGTTGTTGTGGACTGTTGGACTGATGCGAGCAGCGCGAGCAGAAACTCGGTGTTGACTTGCATCGACATTCGTGGGCCCCACTTCGTGCGGGTTCTCTCTCACCTTTGATTCTCTGCGTTCAATGCGGATGGATGAGTGCTTACACATTTACCTTTACCTTTGCTTACCTTGATGCGCCGGAGTCAATTGGATAGTTTACCTCTGGTTGACCAGCGTGAGGGAGATTTTGTTACGCTTCAGTGATGTGGTATGTAAATGTGATGGAATTATTATTTATTTGATCACAATGTACAAACTTTGTACGAAATTATCTGGCAATTCTCGGAATAAAGTTTCATCAATAATAATTTAATCGTCAAACTTGTTTAAAGTTTAATCATTCTGGTTAAATAATGCCTAGTTGACATTGAGACTACAAATACGAATGCAATTCTTCGAAATTGTGTAATTTAGTAATTATGCAATCGAAATTCCGAACTCCATATATTGGAGACACTCCCTCTGAATACTTTTTAGTTAAACATTAACGTTAACCAAAGATAGAAAAAGTTTACACAAATTATTCGTGCATCAAGATATTCCACATCAACAAGTTTAGGAATTCTTTCACGTTCGATACCCGGCGTGGTACGGTTAGTCGTACCCTTAAAATTCGATCTGGTCGGGCGTGTGGGTAAGGTAATAATGTAATATCTAATGGTACACCGGTGAATGCTGCTTGAGGGTCTGATTTTAAAAGTGGTTGGTTGACTTTCGTTTGAATATAACCGCAGCTGAAGCCTTTCAAGATTTTTTATCTTTCAACACTTGAAACTTTTAAGAGACCAAAAAAATCAGAGCCGCATTATTAATTACTTGGGTAAATGTTTACCAGAGATGGGGAATTTTTATATTCACTAATTAAATGTGAATACATTATAATAATTTATATTTCAATAATTTTCTGACACAGTCTTCACATATGATATAAGTTTTGTCTTAGAAACAGTACAAAGAATATACAGTGGATTAAGTAATCACAGCATCTCGAATCATAATCTTCCACATCATAAATTCACTTTTTTAAAATAATCATATGTTATAACCGTATGTTTTCTACAAAATTCATAATAACGCGTCTTTTTTAAATTTTTAAGCCACTATGTATCTATAAAAGCACTTAATTCTTGCAAATTTTGTAAAACACTTTTTAAATACATTCCAAACTAACTTATAAATTCAATCAAAACATTACAAAAATTATTTACTAATATCTCTAACTGGCGGAATGCTTACAATCAATTTATTAAAGTACATCATTACCTATGCTTGAATTAGTAATAAAATCACATACTCGTATCATTTTAAAATTGGACTGGCAAACTTAAAACTATCCGTACTATCCGTCTTTGTGTATATTCGTAGAAAAAATACTTGTTCTATTTTGTCTTGTTCTCCATTTGTGCTACAAAGTTCTCTTCTGCAAGCATGCTGCAAATAGGCTTAAGTACTTTGTAAAAAGTGTTTAAGTTTTGATTGATTTTATCTAAGTCAATATTTAAGTTATCTTTAAGTTTTCAGCTAATGTATGGTTGATGTAGGACTGCTCGAATCAAAATTGCTTAATACATCCTCTTGCAACAACGACTTCTTGTCGTCCTTCTTCTTTGCTGGCTTCTTCTTTTTGCGATTAATGACACCATCATTCTCGTCCATCATTCGCAAAATTACAGTCTGGTCGCATTGGTCGATTGGCGCCACGTAAATATCGCGCACCGCTCTGAACTTACCGCAATTGTTGAGATGTTCGTTCTCCAAACGGAAGAAATTCCAAATGAAGCGTCGGAACACTTCCAGCGGTGCTAAAACTGATGTCATCAAATCACCACTCACAAACTGGTTGTCCGTTAAATAAAATGACAGCGCCCATGCGAAACGAAGTACTAAATCCATTGCAATGGCAAAATAATAAAAGAACTGAAAGGAACATAACATAAAAGTAAAGTAAATTAATATAATGCTCCCAACTTACAGTCGATGAGTAGACAATTTCCTCTCGGAGAAATTTGTTTTCACCGGCAGCTTTATCAAACAGACCCCAATCCATTTTGATATCCCAGGTGTACGCGTAACAAGAACTAATTATTGATGCAACTATCCACAAATACAAGAAGGGATTATCCATAGGATCTTCATACTGATCTAGAAATATAAATTTCGACAAGAGTATTAAAATATAAATAATGTTTTTAAGTGATTAATAAACATACCGCTGTAATAAACTCGCAGTGTACCAAATATAACAACGAAAAATGTTGTTGAATATTTGCCGGCATTAACCAGATGCGGAAACGCTTCCCTTGAATCACGATAACGGCGCAAACATTGAGCAAAGCGTATCCACGCTGGAATGCAATTAACTAAAGGCCGAATCACAAAACTTTTCTCTTGACAAATCATCGTATCATTTGGCGCATCCCAATTGTCTCCAAGGCTATAATAACACGCCAGAAATTGGAAATCCAGTAATGCTCCAACCAAACTATTAAGTTGATCCGCCAGCCAGAAATCGGCAAAATTCACGTGGAAAAATGGCGCGCCAAACATTCGCATACAAATGTTCAAAAACCAATATCGCGCATCATGCCTAAAAACTTTGAGCGGATTGATAAGGAATACAAACATGAGAACAGTGAGGAAAAATGGATTTACGTATGGAGGAACGCTGAGCGAGGAACTGTAGAGGAAACTAAGAAAGCTTAACGTCCACACGACGCCAAAGATGGCGGCCAATTCCATTAAGTCTTGTTCGGACAAATGATTCCGTGGATCAAGTTCAAAAATGAGCACGTGATTTACGCCACTTGAGCGCCAGCCATAAACATTAACACCCATGAGAAATAGGAATTCGATGATGAGCAATGGGCCTCTGTACAGACGGAAAGCAATACGTAGATTATCTCCCGTTCCTTCATGAAAAATGGCGGAGAGTACCACCGCAATCAGAAGAACAATAAAGGAACCAGAAAAGAGACCAACTTTAAATGTCGTCCAGGGAGATCTTTGTTCGCCTAATGGAGGCACGCGTAGACGTTTCATCGCCTTTTGACGATCGCCTGATTCTAAAGAATTGATGAAAGCCGATTCCGTGTCGGAGATCAACTTGTCGATGTCCTTGTTCGTGTAAAAATGAGACGCCTCGACATTCTCGCTGTGCCATGTTCGACCGAAATCAACGGATAATAACTAAAATTATAATCACAATGAGTATGATTGAACTAGCCGCTTGACAACAATTTATTGAATCATTGTACCTTATCGTGTTTTTTCAATATTTTCCGAAAACCGGTGTGGTTCAAGGACTGATAGTTTTGTAGCAGGATCAGGCTGAGATAAAATTCACTGAACGCAGTTTTAAATTCTTGAATCTTCCTGGTCGGTATCTGGACACGTTTGGTTTGATCATCTTTGTATTTAGCTTTATGTCGGTGTCTAGACTCCGATAGGGAAGTTTTCAGCTCGCTGTTAAGTGTGGCAAACTTTCTCGTCGCTTCAGCTAACTTTTCCGCGTAGAATACGTTGATTTTCTTCAGCTCTTTGTCGCAATAATGGAAAAATTGTTCGTCGAAGTTGCGATAGTGGCGGGTGAGGGTTTCTTGTTCTACACTTTCCGCGGACGGGGATTGTTCCACCGCCATGTAAAGCATCGCCTTCATTTCCTTTAATAAATACAACAATTGTAAGATAAACAAAAGATTAAAAGCAAATTATTTCTTAAATCAACAAAGATTTAAAAATATATTTCCAAGTTATGTTTCATTATTATACCCCGAACCTGTAGCTAGATGGGAAATAAAAATAAATATGTTCTGCTTCAATACATCAATAAGTTCATCAAAGGAAAATTACTTTTGAATTATTGTTTAAATTTCGCGCCGTGAGCATCACATGACTGAAATGAACAACTGCCACCGTCTCTACATAACCAAGAAATTTTTATTCAAGAAATTCATCATTTTTGTTAGTTTTCACACAACTTTGGTGCGTATTTTTAGAAAAATAGACCATTGCATGGCCCCGAGCAATGTCATCGAAAAAAATGCAAGTTGTGTCGCGTTATAATCAACCGCCAAGGATTTCCCAAATCGTGACTTTACAATCATTCGCTCCTTTCTACTGGTACACTTTTTCTTTTGTTTTCATACCTCGTAGTTGATGTATTGCTTGCGCCATTCTGGTGTGATGTGGGCACTTAGGTGTTCGGCGAATTTCATGTTTCGTCTATCAGTCCCAAGTCAGCAAACGCGCGTAGAAAAGGCACATTCAAGTATGTAGAAAATTTCGCGTTTGATCACTGCGCGCTCGCTGCTCGCAACTCGTATTCACATTACAACACTAAACAAACACAGCGTTTAATTCGTTTCGTTGTTCATCGTGCGTTTGTGCCACAGCGTAAGTGTGCAAAGAAAAGATGCAGTGCAAGCGGGCAGAACGCGCACATCAACTTCAACGCGATCGCTTATCAATTCATTTTATCTTGCGGCATCCGTGATATAATGCGAATGCGGACGACTCACTCAGGTGGAGCGAACGAGAAAGTGTTGTCGTTGTTGTTCCAGAGCAATCAAAATAATTGTCAATAAAGTTAAGTGCATGTGCGTCTTTACGTGAACGCGTATCGAGTGTGTGTTACATTGGCTCCGCGGTATTTATGACGATGCGTAGCGAATTTGCTGAGCTGCGTGTGAATGAGTGTGCACGAAGCGTGCGTCTAGCCAGCGACTTGTAAATATGTGTACTGTCGGTCCGTTTGTAAGTAAAAATATTACGATAAACTGACTACGCGCCGCGTTGTTGTTCGGAACAATTCGGTAGCTAATAGAATGAGTGGTATTAGAAGTGGACGCATTTCGACCAAAAGCGGCCGACGCCAATGAAAATAATTGGTAAGGATTTTATGAGGCTTGTGTAGTCGCAGTCTCATTGCGGACGTAAACAAACTGGGAATCAATTGCACAACGGTGCGGAACTATTTTCGTCACTTAGCAATTCACAGTTGCTGCTACTCATCATCGCACGCGGGTTTATTTATTAATTTGCGGCTGAGTAAATAAATTACTTTGGCTTTGTTCAGCGTACTTTACTTTGGAATTTATTCACTCTTCCTTTGCAACTTCAGACGATTTTACATCCGGCAAATTCTTATTTTGGAAATTAAATATTATTATAATACTTATATATAATTTTACACAATTAGGTACCACTAATTCACAAAAATTTGTCATGAACTTATGCAACAAGTGTATGTTCTGCTTTTGGAGAATACTTTGATGTCCTTAGGAGGTTTCGAAGGCAACGATAAATTTCGCGGCAATTTATTTGCTTTATAAGCGCGATAAGCACGAAAAAATCAAAGTTGCGCCAGTTTTGTTTCAATTTAATTTGCGTTTATCTAATCTCGATTTTTATGGTGGTTTGCAATCATAAACATATGCGTAGACACCTTTGTTGTTTGCGTTAAATAGCGTAATTTACTATACATAAAAATGATTGAAACTGTTCAGCATTTTAAAGAAAATTCACAGAATTCTTAGAAAAACGTAATAAATTTCACTCTTTGATGATATATTTCTTGTTTTCCCGACGTTTTACAGCGATTTACCAACATATTTCAATCAACAAGTCAAGTTAACTTCCCGTGTCAATTTATTTAAGATATTATTGAAGTGTTTCGGCAGCGAAACAGGTGTTTGACGTCTAAAAATACCAAATGTATTATTCAACGTCTGTAATTGTTAATAATCATGTACAGCCCACGAAACAATACCAGCAATTATACAACAGTGAAACTATAACTTTATTTTCAAATGTACAGAAAAATACAAAAGTGTGAAACAAATTCACAAATATAATCAACAGATTCAAATACAAAACGCATTTCAATTATTCATCGTCGTCGATCCACGCGCTGCTTGCGTAACAAAACCCGCGGGAAGTCGCTCCGATTTGGCAAAGCCACAAACAACTCAAGAGACACAAAACTACACAAATTCACCTACGCACACGTGTATTTTATATTAGTGATGATGCATTATACAGACGAACGTTGTACATACATCCGGTATGTGTGAAATATCCCCGTGTGCATCTATTTTGTACTTTTGGTTGGTGTTCGCCGTGTGTGCGATATTGTGAGCATAACCGCTGCCCTTTACCGATGTTGCAGGTGTTATTTATCTGCAAGTTTACTCAATTTCTTCATGAGTTCTTGTCCAAAGGAGTCGTTGTATAGCGGGCTGATTGCCGAGAGTAGACTGTAAGGCGTCTCGAAGTATTTGTCCTCGGGCGCGTCCTGTGAATCGTATGATTTGCCCACGACTCGAAAGCCTTTGCCCGAGAGTTCCACGCAATAGGCCTGGTTCTCCATTGTGGTTACATTCAGGAAGATTCTTGACGCGCTGCTTGCTAGCGACATGCTTACTTTGGCCGTCTTTACGTGCTGGTCGATGTCTCTGATGACGGCGTCGGCCTCCGCACGCCAATTGCCCGCCTTCTGCATGATCACTCTCTTGATTCAATTCTGTTTTCCATACACAAAAACAGATCCTGCTGGACTGTCAAATCAACATAACCTTCCCTTTTGTGGCATAAGTTAAGCATAAATGTCTAAATTTTCATCCACCTGAATTGCTTGCATAAAGATGAATTATTTATTTAATACAATTTTAAATGACTAACAATTTTGTCTACTTGGGTTTTGCAGTTTGGTCCAATTCCCAAAACTGTCATAGTCCCATGTTGAACCTGAGTATGCCCTGCATCTTGTACAACAGCAGAATTTAGATTATTTTCAAGAGCAGCTTTGTGTAGTTCTTGCAATTTTAATTCACTATCAATTTTAAGTACAATCTTGGGCTGTCCTTGAATGAACCATTGTCTTGCAAGTTGCTGCTGTTCTGCTGAAGAATCTAATGCTTGCTGGTAGCATATAACAGCAGCATGTGCACATTGTGAGGCAATTTTACCTTTTTCCATTTTTAAATCTGTTCTTACAACTAATACCATTTTTGTATTGTATGATTGAACAATACTAGACAATAATTTACTTAGGAACTTGGTTGTCATTATTAAGATACTAATTCTTTTCTTTTTTGTTCAGTGTACTTTGCCATGCAGACTTTGAATTCAGAGACTACATCCTGACATTTTCTCCAGTCCTGGGTAGTAGCAATGCATTCCTAAAATTAAACATATGATTATCTAAAAAGAAAACTTGCTCACCAAAATACATTACTTGAACTTTATAATGTAATTCAATACAACCAGTCTTTTTGAGCATCTCTTCAACAGGATCAGTTATTACTTCCTTCCCATGTTTAGAAATAGATGCTGCAGAAACTGTAGACATAATAATAGTATATTAATAGTGGTGGAAGAATAAAATAAATTCTGGTTAGTTATCTAATGTAATCCAAAGCATCTTTGAGGTTATTATGTTCAACGAACAATCTGCGAATATTTGAAGTTTTAAAACGCTTTTCTTAAAATATTTACGTTGTCTAAAGACTTCATAGCGTGATATTTATAAATTTCTATGTTTCTGTAGTTTGTTTAGTGGGCCAACCTATTTTTCATTTAAAATATGTAAATATATGAAGTTGCTAAACTTTCAAATTTTAAAATAACATTTACTTGATGATAAGAATAAAACAAATCCCGGATAATATAACAGATAGAAAGAATTATTAATGACTTTATTGTCACTCAAGAACTTCTACAACATTTAAAAAAAGTGTGAGTTTGGACATCGTTACAATTGTTCGTGTATATCGTGTTCAGTGTATGAATGTGATGTTTCGATCGGGTACAGTTATCAATAACAGATGTTATAAAAATATCTATGCACTAGATTATTTGCACTGGTTGTAATTATTCACCTTCCCATGCCGTAGACTAACGATCAAATTAACTATATTGATGTCGCAAATAGACAATCTGTTCGTTTAGAATAATCAATTAATCTTAGTACACAACATCACAGTACAGGTGCGGGTACACATTCGTGAATATTTATAATAAGTAATATAGAACTGGCACATCAACAGTTTTCCAATCATTTAAAACAATAACTCTCAAGAAACAAAAATTTAAAACAAACTAGTGAGATTTTGAATTCATGAGATTCAGGACCTGTTAGCCCATTAAACATTCGAATGCATATTTTGATGTTGTGCGCACTCCTCTGTAAATCATTCCTTATACTCTTAAATTAATTTTTGAATCATTGTACTTAGTTCTTCTTTTTGCCGTGAGTTTATCTCGCGGCCTTCGATATAATTCGTTTATTTCATTTTCGTGGATGTGGCGATCACAATGCAGCCTGCTAAGAACACAGACCACAATAACAAGGTGCCCTCGAGTTGATTCGTGGCAAGACGGATTGCTTCGAGAATTTGCTTCCAAATTGGATTGATTGCTTCCTTGCTGGGCGTGGGCAATAGATTTCTGGCCACTAGGTAATCCACCAATGCGGGGGCGGTTTTCGTAAAAGCTGGGAAGTATTCGCCGACTTTTTCTCGACGCCACCACGAATATCTAAACAGCAATATTATAATTAAGTTACATTCAGTAGAGTTGGATTAAAAAAAAAACATACTTCTCGGTTTGAGGTGCAAATTTATAACTATACAAACTCGCTCGAACATATTTGGGCGCTTTCGGGAATGGAGATGGACCAAGTAAGGCCATAACTTCTGGCCGTCCGTCTAACAAGCGGTGAGCCAATGACATAATCCAAGATTCTTTTTGATACTTCGACGTAGCCGCCCACCACATTTGCCAGTCCAAGCGTGGCGAATACGGTGCTATAAAACAATCAATCAACTAAACATTCCACCTACATCTAGCATCATTCATTTACCAACAAACGGCAGCGAATGGTTTACATTCCCTGGTTTGTACAAGAAGTTGTACTCCAACCAAGGGCCTTCAATGTTGTTAGAACCTTCAATAATAATCTCTGGACGTCCGTTGACACCGGTAGCTTTGTTGAATAGTGTTCCATATTCGTTGATTGCGCGCAATTTGTGCAGACGGTTGTAGATGGTCCTCTGGGGTGTTTGAATTGTGGTATTAGTGCCTTTATGAAGAGATTGAATTGGTACCAGGCCACCAGAAAACAGTACCAATGCAATACCAGCGAACAAAACAGTCTTTGCAATGTTTCCATATTTAACAGCGCCCGAATATTCATTTGCGGATTTCGCCAAAGCTTGCAGAATCGTCATGAACAAAGTGGACGAACCCAAAAAGGTTGCGGTAATGACAGCGTATTGCAAACCTAGATTAAACTGTTCTTTCGTAAAATTGATTTTTACGTCCAGTTCTCCAACCTTATCATTGTACTTGAATTGATACAAAAGATACACGGCATAGCAGACGGCTAAGTGAAGAACCACGCTGAACAAGTTGGGAATAATTCTTGACTTGTTCTTTGCATTGCGGATCTTGTAGAAGAAATTGTCGTCTAACAGCGAAATCAGTAGTGCTACTGTGAGCAAGTCACGGAAGGAGAAATTGCCAGTGAGGACAATGAACATTTGCAACACAATCTAAAATTTCAAATAGATGTATCATGTTATTATGTAATTATTTGTTGTTGTATCTTACTTGAAACACGAATCCGGTGACACGGACACTTCTGACTGGAATAAAGAACAAGAATGGCAAAGCCAATTCAGCGACTTGCACATAAACTGCAGTCAACTTCAAAACCCAAAGTGGTAAATGATGGGCATACCATGAGAGTGGTGTAGGCAACACCATCGCCTCGAAATGATAAGAAAGTGCTGGAAAAGTATAACAAATATTACTATATGTAAAGGTTACTCATAGTATTTAATAAGTACCTGTTAAATCCCACCATTTTGGACAACCACTAATTAACTTTACAACACCGTTGCTAAAAATGAATCTGAACAACAACCATTTCACCAGCCACATGTTAATTTTATCACATGGTGACACTTTTAATCCCCTCGGTTTCCGAGGAATGAGCGGTGCAACTAGTAAACACAAAAAGCCTGTTTCCAAAAGTAAATCATCCCTGCAATAAAATAAATTAATAATATTTCACTTGGAAATAAATAAATTAACATAAAATTGCCATGAATGTGATATTGTAAGTTGAGACAATCAAAATTTGATATGTTGAAAAGAAAAACAAAGTATTGAAATTACACCTCATGTTAACAAGAATAGTTGAATACATACCATTGGGATGTTACAAATACTTGTCCAACTTGATACAGAGAAAAGTAAAGGGACCATAATCCAGCAAATAGTGGAATTGTGCAAAACTTCTGTGAAACAAATCTGCAACATACAAACAATCATTCTGTCACTAACTGAACAATTCACAGCTTAATTGATTAGATTATCATAAACCATATTTGTACAAAACAAACACAATCCAATTAAAATGTTTTTGGCAGCAACAAACCATTATCATAAAAATACACTTTTATCTCACCAATGTAGATACAAGTTGCAAATGTCAAGGTTAAAAGGTGTTTTATGATGAACTCATTACTAGTGATGATCTAAGTGCATGCTCACCCAGTGAATGCTAAGAAGCTGCCCAAAAGGGCCAAAAGGTCCAATGCATAGTTGGTGTCCAGGCCTACATATGAAGCTATCCACAACAGTGTGGGCTCATAATGCACTTTATCAGCAAAGGTCTTGTGCTTGCTGTTTTCCAGCACTGCCTTTGCCGGCAGGATGCCGTTATCTCCGTACAATCCTATAGAATGTTAATATTGTGTTAAAAAAAATCGAAATCTGGGAGCGGTGGTTAAGAAAGTTAGCAATGCTTACCTGGAATCTGCACGTAGAAAGAAATGAACGCGAAGAGGTAGACGACGCACACGGCTCGCAAGAACAAGTCGCGTGTGTAGCGTAACAAAGCCATTGTTGCTCTGTTGAAAATTTGCACTGGTTGCGTTTGTTTGATGGATTCTTTTGCGATTTGCTGCGAATTTCACACTACATAGATGAGACTAATAACGGCATCTGGCTTCGCTAACCTAGCGTACTCCAGCAGCGTACACGTCGGTGGTTCTTGGCGGAATGGCACCGGTTGGGATGATGCTAATGTAAAACAACGCCGCGTAAACACCTTACACCGCACTACTACCAAGACAAATTTCTTTTTAGTGATCGTGTTGGGTGCGTTGGTGTGGAGTTGCGTTTGCGTTGATCGAAGTCGCGGTGGCTATGTGTGGGCAACGTACACAACGAAATGAAACGCCACGAAACGCACCGGCATATTCCTTGATGCGGTGCGAAAGACGCATGCTCGCTGGATACAAATGTCGACGTGTTAATATTTCTTGCCACTGTTCAAAAACATTACTTAAATGCTTGGAACGTTGTAAGATAAGGATATGAGTTGGAATTTTTAAACCAAGGCAGCCTCTCATCGTTGAATCTTGATTAAATTGCATCAAAGTACACTCATAAGCTATAACAGAGTTTAGATAACATTTTGATTTTTGATTTATCGGCGTACCGAAAAGTCTATGAACTTATTTCATCCTGCAGATGGTGGCAGGGACAAGAACAAGAAGTGCCAAGCTGGGCTAAATTGATGGTTGCCCGGGTTAACATGTACCAAATATGGAGTAAATAATTAAATAAAGTACATACCTATATAGTAAATATATGAGTATTGCAATATTTTTTCATGACTTTGGAACATATCTTAGAGATCCTTTATGACATGTCTGAAAGATTGCGCTGCATTTGGTAATAATAGATAGACCACCATACATACAAAACAAAATCAGTTTATGTTTTGTTCCTCAGGTCGCGTAGCAACGACTAACAAAATTTGTTTTAAATGTTTTCTTGAAATATTTCACGATTTCAATAAGTATCGATAACATCACGCAATGAATTTTCCCGAAATGAATGGATTTCAAATACCACGGAGATTTGTGAAGAATAATGAGACTGCAATAAGCAATCTCTGCAGTAAAAGTTCAGCAATGCTGCACGATATCCGAGAAATCGTTGAAAAACTAATGGACGGAAACGATATTATGGTGGACAGCGAGTCTCCTGAAACTATTGGCTTGTGTGAGAAATTAAAAGTTGTTCTGACTGGTGCAAACCCAGAGCTCAACCTGACTCGTGAAGAAATTCGAACAGTTCTGCTGGGTTTCCCGTTCGTATTCGATGTTCCAGTTCGAGTTTACATCATTACTAGATGGTAAGACAGTTATGAAACATTTCTATGTTGCCCATAAAATTCAGAATATATAAAATTATTTTAGCGAACAAATTAAAACTTACAATTATCTGTCGGACCATTCGCAAATTAAACAATTTATATCGGATGTATTGTATTTGGACTCGCATGGTTTAGTTACTGACATCTGGATGTATCTGACTGGTTTTATTGAAATTATTATTATGAAACTAAGAAAATGTGAAACTAATCAGGTAGGACCGGTTTAATTTATAATGGCCGTCTTGATTTGAGTGCCAATATTACAACTATTTTTTAGCATAAAATGGAATTATGCCAATATTTAGTTATGTTTGGGAGTTCTCCAAGAATCGGTGCAATGGTTATAAAAAGTCTGCAAATGATTTTTGAATCCTATTTTTACTACTTACACGGAATCATGGAGGCTAAGTTGAAACCTTCCGACACAGAAGTAGAGACGCTGATGATGGTCATTCATACTATAATTGAAATACTTGAACAAAATGGCAACGTCAAGAACTCGGGCGAATTGCAGGATATTAAAAAGACTATTGAAACCATATCACTTCTCAAAAAAGTAGTTCTTAATCGTGTTTTTGTCGCAGATATCGAGTATTGTCTTGGTTTAATGCCACTTTAAGTTCAAACAATGATTGGGATGATTATGTTTGTGATAATTACAAAAACTGCTATTTATGATTTACGATCATTGTTTATAATGATTTCAATTTGTTATCTAATTATGAATTCTTATAAATAAAATATAATTTCACATATGAGCGATATCCTTTGTCGTTGGCATTTTTTACTGCTAATGTTTTATCTTATCAGGTAGTCAGTTCCGCTTATGTTATCACTCACATCGTGTTGCAGAGGCGCACGAAGGTTTAGTCTCATCACTGCTTGCAATGGACAACCTGCTATCGCCACGTTACTTAAAATCTATTGAATTGAAACCCTCCATTGAGTTGTTAAGTGACGAATATGAGATTGGTAGACATTTTGTAGTGCAAATTATATACGGAGATGATTATAAGGAGAGAGCCGATCTACTGTTTAACACAATGCAGGATGCTTGTCAATTTACGGTGGAACGAACTCCATTCCAAAATATTCAAGATTTTTTTGACATCATACAAAACTGTAAGTACATGTAAAAGTATCTCATTATCAGGTAATTGTATTTTTGTATTTGCAGTAAAAGTGAGAATTGAAAAACAAAGAAAACCAGTTGGAGTTTTTGTCATTGTCTTATGTCATGGCAAAGCTGCCGAAGGTGGTCATTTATTTTGTGATAATGGCGACAAGATTGCTTTTTCGGAGGTGTGGGATGAGTTTATCAAGATGGAGGCCTTAAATCGCAAACCCAAGATCTTTTTATTTCAGGTTAGTAAACTATTAGCCGAATCATTTCGGAAATTGTAAAATGTAATGTAATTTGCAGACACATTTTGTACCCACTCGTGATGCGTTCGATGGAGTAAATAGATCAAAACGACTCTATGATGTTGCTGCTCCAGGCGCAGATCTATTCCTGATCTCTCGTAACATTGCGAGAAAGTCACAAGATAATTTCATTGATAATTTTTGTGAATATATCAGGAGTCATGGCAAACAAGTTGATATTTTTGAACTTGCAACTTTTGCAACTCATACCGACCGTCCTTTGATTGTATCTACATTAACAGCAAGATTCTTCTTCCAAAAATCCGAGACACGTGGCTACACTTATTCCATACTTGAAGGTGTGGCTCAAATTAAAAAAAGAATACAAGGACAAATAGGAGGTAACAATTAAGGAAATTAATATATGATTAATTTATATATTATATCTGAATGAATATAAGTATACACAAATTATTTATAGCTTATTAAACTGTCAACATATCTTGAATCTTATTCATAATCATCAACTGCTCCTTGCGATCCTTACTAATTGTAAGATAAAATTTCTTCCGCAGTGTTGATAAAATAACTGGACATTGCCGGAAAGGATCTCCTAAATCATTATGTCCGATTGCATCTGTCATGTAATTGTTGGCAATTGTTTTGTTCGTACGCGTCAGAATAGTAAATAATTCATCGCGCCTCCCATAGCGACTTAAGCTGCTGCACAATTCTTGAATCATCCATGTTCCCTCATCTACTACTCGTGCAGAGACGTTATTCTCAGTTGTGGCATAGTACACAATAACATCTTCCGGTAATCGCTTTATATATGTGTTGTCAGCAACGATTTTATGTTGTTTCTCAACACGATTATCGCTTTGAGTTTTTTCCTTACAAGCCTAGTAAATGAAAAATAATTATAATAATTTTTACCACCTTCATTTGTATTATGTTACCAAAAATGTAAACCATTTGGGCACCTTATCCAGCGCCTCACAATTACAAAATGCATGAATTATATCTTCTATCTTCATTTTTTCATCTTTAGCACAAATGATGTTGTTAGCCAGGCCGTGTGTCAAAAACACAACAATCAAACAATTGATTTTTGTATCTGGGTCGGCGTTAAATGCGTTAGTAGCTATGGTACCAAACAAAATTTTAATACAATATTTGCATCCACTTAGGTAAATACAGTACCTGTGGAAATACTTTGCATAACTTCTTCCTTTGTAAGATCATTGTAAATTCTGTTTTCTGGGACATTAAATTTTAGTAGTCCCAGTGTTTCAATCAAAGCTTTCACATCCAGTCTTGTACCTTCGCGTGGTGATAGTTCCAAAAACGTTTCAAAATTAAATATATATACTTCTCCTGGTTCACCACCGTATTTAGGGTACTCATCTGAAGGATAAAAGTTGGGATCCATCTCAGGCAACATGTAACTTCCTATTGACATAATTAATAACGAGTTCATACAAAAGATACTCTACAGAGTAATCAAATTGGCTATATTAGACTACCTCTGTCATGTTTAATTGAAGTTGTCAATGGTGGAAGAGGTGGTTCCTGTTGTCGAGGTTGTATTACAACGATATCAGGAACTACTCGTCCGACCTGTGAGCTGCTGCGTGGTCGACTGCTACTAGGAACGGCCAGAAAGTTGTCATCATCGGATGGGATGTGAGACTCTTTGCTTCCAGATGCAATGCTGTCTTTGCCTGCAAGATAACAGATTGTCAACTTCATTGTCATTCGCCTGAACGTTGGTTCGTAGAAATAAATCGTCATTACCTGTGTCAGTCACTTTCAAAACTACAGTTTCTTCCAATTCTGATGGAATATCTATAAGGCGATAAGTTAGAAATGGTTTTAGGTTTTATTAGCAGACGTACCTTCTTCCGTGTGGTTATCATCCTTTGGCACACGAACATTTTCATCCGCCATATTGACGAGACTGTTATCGTTCAATAGAATATTCACCAGATAAATGTACTAGAACACGTTTTCAAACAAAGCAATTGGAAAAGTGGTGATAAGATAAGACTTTTTTTGATACTTGGTCCTTTTGACTGATTAAGTACTAAAATTTATATGTCACGGGGTACAGTAACACGTAATCAAATTATTTGTATTCAATATTTGTCGATTGATATCAGGATTGATTTTGTTTGTAAAGTACTATTAAATTTTCACGCATACGCTTGACAATGTGCGGAAAGCAACTAAATTTTTCAATTCTGGAATTTATGCTACGGTTTTGTGATTGGACTTTGTACAATCAAACAAGGGAAATAAGTCGCATGATTAAAAAAAGAACAAAAAAACATGATTATTTAGATCTATTATTAAAACAAGTTATTATCAGAAATGCACAGTGGCAAGCGTTGATACGGTATATTTTCATGCCTTAGTTTCCTTTTCCGTTAATTTCTTGACTCAGTGACTCAGTTATTATTGCTCATTTTAATATTTAATAATATATGCCAAGAATTGTGCCCGTTTGCAATATTAGTTGCGTTGCAGCATTAAAGAATCATTTTACATTTAAATATTATCTTTTATAAATTAACTTATGAAAACAACAGTTATTTTAATGTTGAGTTTTGCAATATATATCTATTTACACAACAGGAGTATTTAGTTTGAGTGACGTCCGTGAGATGGCGCTACCAGTATACATTTAAAATAAATTCAGCAGGAAAGTTTTGTGCGAGCAGCAGTAGATGTAGCGGCGTGTGGGAAAACAGAGCAGGAGTGTGGCGGAGCGATGTCAACGATTCGACGCGAGTCTCCTGCGCGCAGCTAGCTCTGGCTGGGTCGCGCTGCTCGCTCCATCTTGAGTAGAATATTAGCTTGTGAACGGTGTGTATATAATTGTGCGTTAAAAATCCAATGTTTATAGTTTAAAGTGTCTAGTAATAATTCAAGAAATGTCTTCGAATAACTCTCAGAAGCTATCGACCACGCAACGCATGATAACAGGTTAGTGGAGGACGCTGTGTTCAACGGCGCTGTTCGGTTTATCGCCGTTTCCGTCTATTTTTTTCCATCGCATGGGACCAAATCGCGAACGGGCCCAGCGCAGCAGCGGGCCCCCGACGGTTATGTGATGCGGCCTTTCGAGGGCCTTCTTGCCTAAGACGGCGTCACATTATCGCCTCGCAGGAACGTGCATCGGCACGTACATGCGGAGACGTACACTCTGGCGGCCCAACGGCAACACGTTCGCGCACTCGGCGTGCAGGATTGATTTTCTAGGCGCCATGACTATTGATTTCACAAATATTGTGACAGTTTCTCGTTTTACGATTTATCCTCATATTTTTACGGGTGCATTCTATGATTTTGATGTGTGGTCATCGTCTCGGGGTTCGTATTGCGGACGCTCCGGGTCTTTGGCGGCGGCGGTGGCCGCCACCCGCCCGACCGCCGCCGGCCGTGCCCCGTTCGCCATGCACATTTTGCCAATGCATAAACAAGAGGAGAGCCCGGCGGATCAGATCGACGGCGCGCGTACGCCGGATCGTTAGGCCGCGACCGTCGTGTGTGTTGTTCAGGTTCGACGGTTGCGATCCACAACATTGAACGGCTCAACGATCCGGCCGATCGCACCATCTGATCGGCTGTAAACACGAATGTGAATGAATGTCGGATGGGAATGCATTCAGCCTTTAGCGGCACGCTACGGCACGCCTGCCAATGCACATGCTGGACCTGGATAATTCAGATACGCAAAACTAAATTTTAATAATCATTGCGCTCTTTAGTTTTAGTTTATGACCTGTCAGTTATATGAACTGACATGATACGCAGTGTAGAAATTTCAACTAAAACTTTGCGTATAAAAGTTATTCGTAACACTAAACTTTGTTATTAACAATTAGTGTTTTAATTTAATTACCTACATAATTATTATTTACGTTTATCGTTCTCGACTTCATTAACATGCTTTTTTCGTAAGATATTCTTTCCAAATCCTAATTTGGTTAAATTAGATTATAAATGGGCTTTTTTTTATTTTAAACCATCGTGTATTTTAAACCATCAGATCATTAGATGTCAAATGTTTTCGAATGAAGTTTGTTTGGTGTTCTTGTGGTATATGTATCAGTTGATGCATTATTCATGTTGGCTATAAAAGTTACCCGATGGTAAATTAGACTGCATATTATCAAACTTGTCAGTAGTGAAGATAACAATAAAATAATTATTGTTTGAAATAATTCAATTTATTTACGCACTAGTACCAAACTGTTTTTTTCTTTTTGCAAATGACAATAATTGAATATCAGCAAATTACAAAATGTTGTTTACTTTTAGTATGGGTCAACACTGCCAACATTAAGACAAAATTACTATTTTATTATAACGCCGCATCGTACATTAACATTAACACAATATTTACATTTAATAGTTAGGTTTAGTTTCGTTCACTATATATTTTCAAGAAATTAGATGTATTTTCGCATACATTTAGAATATTATTGATTTCTAACCTTATTTGAGAGCTACATTAACCATGGCGTCGTGTTTGGAGGGAAATTTGAATTTTGCAAACATTTGATTGCATTTTCAGCTCAAATCACTAAAAACCGTTATAATGCGACTAATTATCAACACAGAAGATAATAAATTAGTGTAAACTATGAATTAATGTAATGATAATAGCTGTTTTGTTGTTTGGTATTTGTATTTGCACCCGCTTTAAATTAACTGCTCTCAGTTCCAAGCGAAATTTGTGTTTGCATTCGCAATATTCAGCGTAATGCGGAATTAGATTTTAGCAATTGAATGTACTCTACGAGAGCGTAGTCGCATTAGGTACTTGTCCCCCCGTATGTAAATTCAATTCCCAGCGAAACCTTTCATATTAATTGATCGAGTCGCCCACACAATCAATCAATCGAAGTAATTAATCAAGTGCAAAGTATATTTTCAATTGCCTTCTGTTGCATTGTTCATTATTCATGATTATATTCCCTTGTCTTTTGTAAGACACCCAACTTCATTTGGTGCTCGGTTCAGCGCATTTGCATTCATCCGTAACTTAACAACAATGATTGATAAATTTGGAAAACAATAATTGTTGATATATTGTTTTGTGGTTTTGATTGCGACGATTTTATTATGCTTGTCAATTGATTAATCACGCACAATTTATCGTGCTTATCTCGGCGGCGTATTATTGATGCGCGGGCGGGCGTTCATTTATTTTTAACCCTCGCCTCTCTCTTTGCATTTATCGCTAGCGCCAAATGTGTTTTCAGCCGTTATTTGTTTTGCTCGTTTGTTGGTAGGCGTAGAGAAGATTTCTAAACTTTCTTGGCACACGCGCCCAAAGCGGAATGTAAACGAATACACGAAACTAATAGTACTCAACTAATTGGCAAAGTTTCCACCGCGCACGCTTGCTTCCTGCGAACTTGTCGCGTTTTGTCTCCGGACATTTTGACACCTTTCGCGGTTGCGCAATCAACAATGGGTTGTGTGTAGTTATCTTCATTGCTGATTTCATTTTTCGGCACACTGAATATAATCGTGTGCATACGGCTGGCGAGCGCGTGCGTCTCTGCCACGTTGGATTCGTTCGCGTTGCCGCGGAAAAAATACACGCGTACTGAATAAATAAATAAATAATATCGCGAGGCGTGCACGGACACCTTATGATACAAGTCGAGTCGGGCGTATCCCGAGTTGGCACTTGCTGCCGGTTTAAAACGGACTGTTGAAAAACATTTCATGGCATTTTCACACTTGGGCATTGCTGTAATATATATTTGCCTCTTTCGATATTTAAGCATTCTAAGCAACGTCTTATTTAAGCTTTTGATTGATACGTTTATTTGATGATTTAATTTGTGTTTATTTTTCACCTTTTTGGAACGAATTTAGATTTTTGCTATAATTTTTATCTCGATTGTTAATAATTGCTCTGTGACGGAAAATACTTCAGGTTTTTCTCAAGGTTGTTTAATTATTGCTAATCGATCAAACATTAGATTTCTTATCAACATTTGTTTTGTACTGCGCAGATATTTCCTATTTTTACTGATTTTTTTTGTTTTAACTAAAAAAATATTTTACATTTAAAAATATAAATGATTATATGCTGGTGTTAAATGCTGCCTGAAATGTTATTATTTTTTTCATTGTGATAACACTTTTGTTTGATTTTAAAATAGACTACCTTGAATTCACAGCCTTAATACATATTTGTATCACTTGTTTAACTTTTAGATTTTATCTAAGCATACATATTTCGTTTACAATGACATTAGTAAAGTAAGAGATCATGAACCAATGTGCGTCACGTGTGCTTATGATTTACTTACGTTAGTAAAAATGGAAACTAGAAGTTTACCTACTGTATATATTGCATTTTTAATATTTGCATCAATATAAAATTTGAGAGTTTAAAATTTAATGGATCATAAAAAAGTTATCGGTTTTACTTGAAATTGTGCCGTTTTTGCACTTGCTTTTTTAAATGTTAGTTTAATGCGACACATTTTATCGACGCCTAATAAAAGCTAGGTTTTCATGCACGTTGCAAAAGACGAAGATAGAAAGCGAACACTAAAAATCGTTTCGTGAGATTACGCTTTGTAATATACAATTACCCAAATATAATTATTTCATGCCTCTTAGCAATTATTACTTCACTTCCAGCCCAAGAGTTTTGTAGTAGATATTTACAAAGATAAAGTTTAACTCGCGCCGGCAAAATTGTTTAGCTACACACAGTTCAAACTTATGAAATTACGCATTTATAAATTTTGAAATCTTATTTGTATTTATTTTCGTTAATAAAATTATATTCTTTATTAAATTCATATTTTAAATCATGTTAACACATTTTTTATGTATTATGTGAAGTATTAATGAATACATTTTTGATGTATTTATGTGAACAGTCAACAGGCAGTATAAATTTCCCGTGAATTTTATTCCAATACGTTTAATATGGCTAGTTGTGAGCTTAAGTTTAATTTATTCTCGCGGCTTTGCACGCGGCGTTCTCGCGCAGGTAGGTAATGTTTGCACTCACTAGCGGCATTTGTCTATGTTAAATAATGTGCGTTGTGTGCCAAAGATCTGATACGAACTCGCGGCGTTTGTGATAAAAATGAAATATTAGATTAAGGAATTCTAGAAATTATTGCGCACACTACTCGCTACCCTCGGGCATTTGTTATGGGGCATTGTGTTGGCGGCACGAACTGGAAGCAGCTGTAAAAAACAACGTAGAAAGAATTGTAGAAAGTTCACAAGTTGGAAGCGTGACTTACTAATACGTATACGGATACCAAAGGGCAAATAAACTATTTTTTGCAATAAATATTTTTATTGTTTTAAAGTTTTCTTTGAAATAGAAAATATAAGGTCTAAATTCTTCATATTATCACTATTTTGCCTTGGGAATATGTTTTATTAATGCATTATCGCGTTAACATACGCGTATTAAATAATTTAGCGACTATTTAGAATCAAAAGCGATAAGATCTTGTTTAGTCACTGCGCATTTACGCGATGAGCATTGCTCTTTGATAGTTATGAATTAATTACAGGAAAACCAAATAATTTAGAGTTATTTTATCTTCAGTATTTTAATTAGTATTAAATTCTGAATATAAAATGGTAAAAATTTTATTGAGATCAATTTTTTATTTAAAGTTACAGATCAGTTTTGGTAAATTTTACAATTTTTTACAAACTCTATTTTAACTTTTTGTACAATAAATTGTCAAATATGATTTGTTCGAATTTGAATGAAGAATTTAATAAAAAATTAATGTTTGAAGAAATCATGATTATATGCTGAATAGTATTCGAGTAATTAATTAAAAACTGTCAAGGTATTATTCTTGCGACTATAATACCATGATCAAACAAGAATTATTACGTGCGGGTTGCATTTTCTTGTTTGCTAAAGTTTCATGCGCGGCGAAATTAAATTCACAATTCCATTATTGATATATGAC